TATTTTGTTCTGTGGCAGTGATTTCTGCCTCTCTGTCTTCTAGCTTACTTATTCATACGTCTGCCTAAGTTTCTGCTATAGATTTCTTCTGGTGTATTTTTTCACTTCACTTATTACATTGTATATCTCAGTTTGCTCTTTAAATCTTCTGGCTCCTTGTTAAACATTTCTTGTATCTTCTTGATCTGTGCCTCCATTGTTTTTCTGAGATTTGAGATCATCTTTATGATCATTATTCTACATTATTTTTCAGGTTGACTGTTTATCTCCTCTTCATTTAGTTTTTGTGGGTTTTATTTTGTTCCTTCATTTGCAATATGTTTCTCGTTATTTCATTTTGTTTAACTTTCTGTGTTCGTGGTCTCCTTTCTGCAGGCTGCAGGATTGTAGTTCCTCTTGCCTCTGGTGTCTGCCCCCTGGTGGGTGAGGTTGGTCCAGGGCTGCAGTGGTGGAGAACTGATGCTTGCCCTCTGATGGGTAAAGTTGGACCTTGTTCCTCTGATGTGAAGGGTCATGTCAAGGAGTGTGTTTTGAGGCAGCTGTTAGTTCAGTATGAGTTTAGATAGCTTGTTTGCTGAGCATCAGTTTCTGTCTTGCTGGTTGTTTGGTTTGAGATATTTCATCTCTCCTTGTTGTTGTTCATTCATTAAGTCCTGTCTGACTCTTCGCTACTCCATACTACAGCATGCCAGATTTCTCTGTCCTTCACTGTCTCCAAGAGTTTGCTCAAACACATGCCCACTGAGTCTGTGATGCCATCCAACCACCTCATCCTCTGTTGCCCCTTCTCCTCCTGTCCTCAGTCTTTGCCAGCATTGGCATCTTTTCTAATGAGTTGACTCATCACATCAGGTGCCAACGTATTGAAGCTTCAGCTTCAGCATCAATCCAACCGATGCATATTCAGGGTTGATTTCCTTCAGGTTAACTGGTTTGATCTCCTTGCTGATCGCCTTGCTGCTCTCAAGGGTCTTCTCCAGCATCAGTTCTTCCATGCTTAGCCTTCTTTATGGTCCAGCTGTCACATCCATTCATGCCTTGACTAGACACTAGATGAACTTTTGTCGTCAAAGTAGTGTCTCTTCTTTTTAGTAGGTTATCTAGGTATGTCATAACTTTTCTTCCAAGGAGCAAGTATCTTTTAATTTTGTGGCTTCAATCACTATTCACGGTAATTTTGGAGTCCAAGAAGAGAAAATCTGTCACTGTTTCCACTTTTTCACCATCTATTTGCCATGAAGTGATGGGGCCAGATGTGATAGTGTTAGTTTTTTGAATGTTCAATTTTAAGTCAGCTTTTTCACTTTCCTCTTTCACCTTTATCAAGAGGCTCTTTAGTTCCTCTTCACATTTTGCCATTAAGGTGGCATCATTTCCATATCTGAAGTTGTTGATATTTTTTCTCCCAGCAGTCATGATTCCAGCTTGCGATTCATCCAGCCTGGCATTTTGCATGGTGTACTCTGCTTATAGGTTAAATAAGCAGGGTGGTCATATATAGTCTTGATGTACTCCTTTCCCAATTTTGAACCAGTCTGTTGTTATAGACCACTGGGTGGGCCCAAGGCTTGGTGCCAAAATGGGAACCTCTGGGATAGCTCGTGCTGACTGATATTCCCTGGGGCCTCTACTGCCTGTGTCCTTGCCCACACAGTGAGTTACTAACTACCCCCACTACCCCAAGAGACTCTCCAAGAGTTAGGTCTACCCTGATTCCTATGGAGGTATAGCTAAATGCTGTGTCACAGTGCTTGTGAGTTCTTACGTGCATGCTCCAAGAGTGAAAATTCAGTTTTTCCCAGCCCTGTGGCACACAAGGCCCCACTGGCCTTCAAAGTCAAATGCTCTGTGAGTTCTTCCTCTTGTCTTAGAGGGCTATTTTTTATGTGGGAATGTCACTGTGTAGCCTGTGTGGGTTTAATATTTTTCTGGTGCAAAAGCTGTCTTTAATATGTATATCTGTCTCTTCTTTCCTCTGTGTATGAAGGCCATTATCCTATTGAAAGGAGGTGTGGCTGAGGTCGTGGTGACCTGAGCCTGCACTGGATATTAAGCAGGACTGCCCCTTTGGTCTGTGGTTGTCACTGCCCTGTCAGGAGGCAGATTTGCTCCCTAGTTGTTGGAGTAGAGACCCTCAGATCTTTTCCTGAGCTGTGTTTGTGATCTGCTGTGTGAGGTAGGTGGGACTGGAACATTCCGACTGGGAGAGTGGTCACTGAGTTTTCCTCATCTGGAGCTGTTCACCTTTGAGTGTACTCTTCTTATGTCACTTTTTATCCATTGGGCTGACTGAGAAACTACATTGCTATTGGAAGAGCTCTCAGCCCCACCTTGACAACGGGAATACAGGCAATTGGTCCTGGTGCATCGCAGGTGTTGTTTTCACCAAGCCACTTGCTTGAAGTCAGGTCCCAGGACTTTAGGAATCACGCACCTGAACCCACTGTAGGGGCTAAGATGGCACCTCTGATTCTGCCCTGAACCAATCCCCATGGGTATGTGCCCAGAGCCTACAGCTGCTAACGGTAGACCTGTCTCCAGTGTGTGAATGCTCATCCTTTTAGATGTTCCATAGGCACTTGGTTCACAAAGCTAGCAGCTGCGGTGTAAATGCATGGTTCACAGTCGCAAGGAGAGAGTTCAGCTCTTCTCCCTTAGTTGCACAACTCCTGGGGCTCAGCTGTGGCTTCAGCCCCACCTCTTTGTGTCATTCTCCCACCAGTATCTGCTCCAGGGGCTGCCCTGGAGCACATTCCCTCACTCAGGTGGGCAGGTGCAGAGGTGGTGATGGGCTGGGTGACCGAGGGCTCTCAAGAGTCTGGGAGGCTGTGGTGGGTGGGGTATGCAAGCCTGCTCAGGTGGGTGCTGCTCCTTATACCCGTGGAGGCTGGGACCAGCATGTGTGGAAGGCTACCATGTGGCCCTGCCCTGGTGTGTAACTCAGCAGCATCACTGTGGTTCTATGGTAGCCTGAGCTTCTTCCACAAACATCCCTGGTTGTGGAGCTCCTTACTCCCATCCCTTCAGTCTGTCTCTTTGCACCTGACAGCAGCCCCCTCACAGAGTCTGCTCTCCAAATCCTACGTTCCAGTATTCAGCCCCCATCCGCAATAGCAGACACACATCTCAGGCTGGGGCATGCAGGATAGTAGCATGGACCTTCAGTGTACATCTTACCCTGTCCTGTCGGCCAGACATGTTGCTGCACTATCTTCTGAGCCCCTGAAGCTTCCCTCCTGTCTTAGCTTACCTCCCAACCAGCGAGGGGGCTTTTCCAGGTGTGGGACCCTCTCCTCTCCTTCCACTCCTCCACCCCATGGATTTAAGTACCATTCTGTTTTCTCTTTTCTTTTATCTTTCTTTCATCTTACCTGGTTGCCAGGGTATTTTTCTAGTCCTTTTAGGTGCCCAAGGTATTCTACTAGTGTTCAGCAGGTGCTCTGTGATAATTGTTCCATTTGCAGTACTTGTGGGGAGAGGTGAGCCTCACTTCCCCCTATTCTGCCAATTTGACTCCACATCAAAAGGTTTTAGAGGTCTTTTCATTTCATTAATGGCTGAACTGTTATTATTTGTCTCGCTTGACTATTTCCTCACTTTCTCTTATTTTCTTTTGTTTTTTTAAATTAGAATTGTTTCACTATGGTTTATTGAATAATAATCTCTTCCAAGGCACAAACAGGATTTATTAGACATTTCATTTTCATACAGTTTTCAAGGACAGTGTAGGTACATACAGATGAGAAATCCCAACAGTTTAGGAGGAAGTTCCTGAGGTCTAAAACATATTCTGCACCTCTCCTTGGATTACCACACAACCTCTGGTAACAGCCTGAATGGTTTTCAAATATGTTCCAAAAGCATCTCTATAGGGTCCCAGAAATAGGTAGGTTTTCTCCTTTACCTATCAGTTATCCTCCAGAGTCCACTATGACTACAAAGGACGGGGACCTCCTCTCCTCCTGCTATCTTCCCATTTACTCACTCATAGAAAAGAAACCACTGAAAACCAAAAACCAAGAAAAATTCAAACAATACCTCCTTTTAAAATTTATGTCAATTCTATATGATGGTTATAGTCAGTTATGAGACAAAGAAGACAAAGTCACAAACAGTACAATGACACTCAGCTGGGGTAGGGTGAAAAATAAGATAGGTAAAGGCAGAATCTCTGCAACAACATTCTCATTGGTGGCATTAAAGCCATGGTCACTGAATATTTTTTAAATCTACTTTGCACCCTGAAGATCAGAGTCTTGGCAAATCCGCTTGTCAATTCTCCCATCTACCCCCACATTCACTCTCAAAGGACCTAGCCTCAAGGCCTCACACATGTTTACTGAATGAAAACAAAATCAAGTGCCCTCTGGCATTCCCACTAGTGTCCAGACTCCTGTTAATAAGTGTGCAGCACAGGACACATCAAAAGGCATTTGGGGAAAGGTGAGTCGACTGTCAACCATCTCAGACTAGCCCTGAGGCCTAAAAACACTGCTTTGGACCAGAGTTCCCCATATTTTTAAATAGTAAAACTGCCAAGAAATAAATGAAGAGGATAAGAAAATTATGTGGTAGATAAGATTAGAAACAATTTTATAACATGAAATGGCATTAATTTTTTAAAACTATTTTTCAATTTAATTGTTCAAAACAATGATACTGCTCTTCATTGGTAGTTCCTTACTCTACTTCTTGCAGTTTTATTATTTTTTCATATTACCAGAACAACAAAATGCTATGCTTTTAGCAGTTCTGATTCTCATTAACTCCTCTGAGTTGGGCAAAAAGTATACTACACAACAATCTCTAGATGGTAACTCCTATCACTATTTAATCTTAATTTGACTCAAGAAAGTTCAAATTCCATTAGAGATGGAAATGATTCCACTACTTTCTATTGGTACTGTTTTTAACAAATTATCATAAATTGTATACAAGCTAAAAAGGCATACTATGAAAAAATCCTGCTCAAATGTGCAGGCTCCACCTCTAGCCTAGGCTCAAAAGACCGTGTGGAGATTCCAGACATTTTTATCTCCGCCCATCTGAATAAAAGCGGGTATGTTAGGAGTGGGCAACCATATGAAGTGCAGATTGCCTTTGCGTCCTTTGCTGAAGGCCGGAGTCAGGTCCTTCAGCTCCAGATGAACGTCCCGAATCCCTGTGGACCCATAAGCCACACTGGAGGTCAGGTACTTCCCGATGCTTTCAGGACTTTCCACTTCTTCCTCTTCAGCAATGATGTCTTTGGGTTCTAAATAAAGAAGTTTGACCAGGGTCCCACCAATATCCACGCCAAACCAAGGGAAAAGCGGCCGCTTCTTCCTGAGGCTTTTGAGGGCCTGACTGGAGACTGAGGCAGCCCCGTTGGAAGAGCCGGTCCAGTCCCCGCTTACGTCCAACACGAAGGGGAGGCCCCCGCCCAGGCCCGGGTGACAGGAGCCAACGCGCTGCTCGCCCCGCGCAGCCCACGGGGGCCCCGGACACTGGCGCCCGGGCGACGAGGTGGAAGTGGCGGCGGCCCTGCCCTGGCGCCGAGCAGAGCCGCTGCATCCGCAGTGGTCTGCACTGCCACCCGAGCCAGCCCCTCAACGCCCATCGCCTCCCCGCCATCTCCGTGGCAGACCAGCCGGAGTAGAAGAACACCTCCTGCAGGCCACCTCTTCCCTCGCCTACCTTCTGATTAAATTCACTCATTGGGACTCAGGGAAGGCCTAGGAGGCTAAATGTTTTCTATAATTAAGAGATAAAAGGAGAATGTGGGTATCTGGCCTGGGAAGGACCCATAGGTTCCTGGTTAGTTATACTTTGATGTACAGTTTACTGTACAAATGCATTGAGCACAGTGCTATTTCTTCCCTATTCACTTTATTTATGTTATTGGCAGACAACTAATGTTGAGTTTTCTCAAATTAGCATCGCAGTATGAAATAACATTTGGATATAATCTAATGTTAATTATTTTTATGACCCAAGTTAGATGCACTTAGTGTCACACCAGGCTTTTTGATCAGTTGTGAGAATCACAGGATGATAGAGACAAAGTCCCTGCCTTTTGTGGGACCATCTGTAACAGGAAAAATTGACAAAAAAGAAAAAAAATTGTAATGCACTCCCTTTTCATTTTTAAAATTTTCTTTAACTTTTAATTTTGTTTTGGGGTGTAACTGATTAACAATGTTGTGACATGTATTCCCCATCCCCATCCCCATCCCCCCTCCCACCTCCCTCCCCACCCCATCCCTCTGGGTCTTCCCAGTGCACCAGCCCCAAGCACTTGTCTCATGCATCATGTCAATGTATGGCAAAAACCACTACAATATTGTAAAGTGATTAGCCTCCAACTAATAAAAGTAAATGGGAAAAAAAATTTCTAATCTTCCCTAGGGAGAACAACGACTTAATATTGTAAATCTGTACTAAGAACATTTAATAAACAATGCAGAGAAAGTCTGCTACTATGCCGACTCAAAAAAAGAAAAATGTTGTGACAGTTTCAGGTGAACAGTGAAGGGACTCAACCATACATATACATGGATCCATTCTCCCCTAAACTCCCCTCCCATTAGAGCAAAGTTCCATGTGCTCTACAGTAGGTCCTTGTTGGTTATCCATTTTAAATAGCGCAGTGTGTACATGTCCATCCCTTTTTATATGATCCGACAATCTCACTCCTTGGTATCTACCCAAATGAATTTAAAACTTATGTCTCCATCAAATGTGAACATAGATACTTATAGCAGCGAACTAAGTAAGTAACCAAGATACGCTTCTGTAAATGAATGAATAAATAAACTGTAGTGCATTCAGGCAGTGGAATATTGTCAAAACATGAAAAGTCATAGAGGAAACTTACATGTATATTACTAAATGAGAAGCCAATAAAAAAGACTATATACTGTATTATTCCAATTGTATGACATTTTGGAATAACTGTGGGGAAAGCAAAAAAGACTAGTGGTCTCCAGGGTGCTAGGGACAGAAAGATAAAGAGTAAAGTAAAGCTGACAGGCTACAGTCCATGGGGTTGGAAAGAGTCGGACATGACTGAGCAACTAAGCACAGCAAAGCAGAGGAAAGAGGATTTTTAGAGCAGTACAGTTACTCTGCAGGATATCAATTCAGTCACTCAGTCGTGTCCAACTCTTTGCTATCCCACAGACTGCAGCATTCCAGGCTTCCCTGTCCATCATCAACTCTCGGAGCTCACTCAAACTCATGTCCATTGAGTCGGTGATGCCATCCAACCATCTCATCTTCTGTTGTCCCCTTCTCCTCCTGCCTTCAATCTTTCCCAGCATCAGGGTCTTTTCAAATGAGTCATTTCTTCACATCAGGTGGCCAAAGTATTGGAGTTTCAGCTTCAGCATCAGTCCTTCCAGTGAATATGCAGGACTTTAGGATGGACTGGTTGAATCTGCTTGCAGTCCAAGGGACTCTCAAGAGTCTTTTCCAACACCACAGTTCAAAAGCATTAATCTGTAGGATATACAAGTACATATTTCCCCAAACTCATAGACTCTACAACTCCAAGAGTGACTCTTAGTGTGAACTATGACATGTAGGTGATAATGATGTCTGTCTCAGTGTAGGTTCAGGAATTATAACAAATGTATTACTCATACATTATAATTATGTATTTATAAAATTATGCATTATAAAAATGTATTACTCATACATTACAATTTGTGTAACAAATTATAACAAATGATCACAATGCTGGTAGAATGGTTGTGTGTATGTGGGGTGAGGAGCTAGATGGAAATTCTCTGTATTTTCTGCTCGATGGTTGAGTCGCTAAGTTGTGTCTGACTCTTGGTACCCCATAGACTGTAACCTGCCAGGCTCCTCTGTCTATAAGATTTCCCAGGCAAGAATACTGGAGTGGGTTGCCATTTCCTTCTCCAGATCTTCCCAACCTAGGAATCAAATCCTGGTCTCCTGCATTGCATGCAGATTCTTTATGGACTGAGCTACGAGGGAATAGTTTTATTGTAAATGTCAAACTGTTCTCACAAATAAGTCTGCTTTAAAAAAAACATGATTTCAATCCTTCCAGCTCTAAAATTTGATTATTTCTAAGGGAGAAAAAGAACTTTGTTCATTGACTTTTAAAATCAGTTTTAAAATCCTATTAGAAACAAAGTGAAGCATTTTTTTAAATCCACATTCATTCTTTAAAAGTAATTATTTTATAATTTTCAAATGACATTTATTAGGTAAATCACAACACAATTATTTAGTCAACTAGCACTTACATAACAGCAGCTTTAAAAATAAACCAAAACTGAAATATACAGACCTGCCTACAAAACTGCTTTATATCCTGTGGTCTGATCTACAAGCAGGTGGCCTAGGAGACCTGAGGCTCAGAATGTCTATCTCTAGAGATAAATTCAGCCTCTCCTATAGCCTCCTCAACCCTTCCAGCACTGGCTGAGACTTACAGGCCCAGCAGGAGAGCCATGAGCTCTGCTCATGTCTAGGGTCCTTGTCTCAGAGAGCAGTGAGGGCCCTTCCCAGAGCTCTCACTCAGGTTGCTCACTGACCACTGACTATGTTCCTTTTTGTGTGTATTAACCTATTGAAGAGCCACAGAAATAAGTATGGTGGTAAGAGATGCCCCAGACAGAATAAAGAACTTTTATGAATGGTAAGTTTTCAGAACCTAGCAACTCAGTGCCTTTTTCTATTATCAGTGTCTGGAGATCCCTTAAGTATACACAGAAAACTGAAGAAGACATCACAAAAAACAGCAGTAAGTTTACACTGAGGGTCTTTTTGCTTTTGACCTTTTCTTTACAAACATCCAACCATGGATAATGCCTACGTATGTGTCTCAAGCTCAAATCTACCTAAAGAAATTTAGGCTCATATTTCTGGCTCCATAGGACCCATCACCCCAAGACACCCTTTACCTCTCAGACTCAGCTTTTCCCTCTAAAACCCTGCATCCTCACTGAATCACATTTTCTTCTCAGATTCACTTGAGCAGACATCCAAAACCACGGGTTTCTGTCCACTCACAATGCAACTATATCTTAACTTTCAGTTTCCAAGAAAACTTTTGACAAATGCACCCAGCTTGGTAGGGGTATTGCCCCAGTATATGAAGGGCTCAGAATGATAGCATGTGTCATCTCCACAGTGTGGACCAGAGATGGAGCTAATGCAGGTGGTATTGGGGTGAGCGAAGACTTTCAGGATCTCAAGCAATTCAGCCCAACGCTAGGCAAGTCTTCCGAGCTGGAGGATTCCCTGAGAGCTGAAACTTTCCCAAGGGACCAGGGACAGTCTTGACTTAAACTGGGCAGCTCAGAGTTGTGTTGCAGCGTCTTCTCTATGATGGCTGTGGAAAGTGGGTTTTCGTGTGAGCTGAAAACAGTGGTTCAGGGCAGGCAGGATGGCCTCAAGGTGGGAGTCCCTGATTCAACACTTTTCCAAGTACAGTTTCTGGAGGGTGGCTACAACTTTCTCCAGAAAAGCTATGTATGAGAAGCTCAGAACTAGAATAGGTCAGGGTGACACCACTCAGATTCAAGCTCTTTAGCTGACTGATATTTGGACACTGGGAAAGGGGCCAAATCTGAAGCTGTAAGGAGGCAGTGAGTTATAACAAGGTTGTCCAAGGGGGTCTTCAGGCATCTGGGATAGAAAAAGAGGAATTATGTGTTAGAAACTGGGGTAGAAGGTGACCTCAAATTGGAAGACAAGTGATCTGGCCAAGGCTACAATTGGTCTGACTGACCATCTAATAATGATCAAACCCAGGGTGCCCAGTCTTATTTTAACCAGAGTCTCAATTACATAGTATCTTGAAAGCTCCCTTTCCTCATCTGTCCTGCAGAGTAGAACATACTCCACTTCTTTATGAGGATGAAAGAAATTAATGGAGTGGACTAGAACAAGCTCAGAGTAGAGCCTGCCACTTTGTCTCTAAATAAACAGTGGGCATCCATGGTACTTTCAGTGAGGTGAAGTCCTGTGAACACCTCCAAGGTATCTGAGAGCTGCCCTGTCCTCAACCTGTCCTCAGTCACTGGTTCCATTGATGACCTTGAGGACACATCAACACTGGATCCAGAATACATTCTCCAAAAGTCCTGGCCAGTATTCCCTCCTGTGGGGCAACAGCAGATGGGCAGTGATGGTTTAAGATCCACACACAGTGAAGCCAGTCTTAGAATTTAGGCAACAGTCTGACTTCCCACCTAAGCTTTTACCACACATTCCTGACATCACCTGCAGCCTTGCCCTCTTCTTGCCTCTCTGGCTCAGTTTCCTCCCTCTCCTCTTCCCCCTCCATCCTTCCTGGATTTCTGCTTCTAGTACACTTAAGCATCACTAGAAGGATGTATAGCATGTACTTTTAGGTTTCCTTGCATCTTAGGCACTCTTGCACTGCTGGAAGGCTTTTCCCAAAGAGAGCTCAGCAATGGCCAAGGTCTCCGAGCTTCTTCATTGACATCATCAGAAGCCTCTAGTCCATCTTTTGGCCATCCACTCTCTGATCCCAAGTCTCTCTTCAGGTTGTTTATTAACCTACTAGGCTACCTGGATTAGATTCACCTGGGGCAATCTTTCTGGGCAAGCAGGACATCCAGCACTGCTTGTAAGGTCCCCACATGAGGTTTCTGCATCAGGCCTCCAAGAGGCAGGAGAACATAGGGCCAGGTGTGCCTCATGGGCTTCAAAGTTTGACTGTGTCTTCCATAGAAGGCCCCCATGAGCTGTGAGGGGAAGAGCTCAATGGGCAGATATTCCAGAGTAGTGATGGTTGAGGCCTCATCCCTCAACAAGCTCATTGCCACCAGGTCCAGGAGTCTGGGTGGTATCCAGAGATGCATCCTGACTCTGCTCCAAAAGGAATCCTGTGGAAACTTCCAGGGAACCAGGCATCCTTCTCAGGCCAAATAAGAACACACCTCAGTCTGTCGCCCCATGTTCAGAGGAAACTTTTTTGGACCAAAGGCAGTGACTGCCCTGGCAGTGGTATAAGTGCCTGTTAGTCCCAAATATACTCTGGGCTCAGTGGGCACAATGGCATAGCTTTACCCTTTTGGGCACTAGAGCAAGAACCTCATAAGAAGCAAAGAGGAAGAAGCTGGGTGAATAGTGATGGAATAGTGATTCCATCCATCCCATCCACTGCTTTGTTTAATCATGTTCCACTGGGAGGTGGGGACCATGAGCTGAAAGTTAAGCTTCATCTTTTTTGGGGAAAATTTTAATCCATCACTTAGAGCCTTAAAACTAAGGGAATAAGAGCATCATGTGGCCCAACACAGCCTTTATCCTCAGTTCCCACAGTTCACTGGGCTGGGAAACGGTAAGTGAAGTGTGAAAATCACTCAGTCGTACCCGACTCTTTGTGACCCCATGGATTATACAGTCCATGGAATTCTCAAGGCCAGAATACTGCAGTGGGCAGCCATTCCCTTCTCCAGGGGATCTTCCCAACCCAGGAATTGAACCCAGGTCTTCTGCATTGAAGGCTGATTCTTTACCAACTGGACTATAAGAGATACCCCTACAATGAATGCTGCTTATGCACAAATTAAATATTTTAAATTTCAAGAAATAAAATTCCAACAGATGATTTTCACTAAAAATAGCATCTGATCCTTAAAAAAACATTTTAAAATGGTATAAACCCAGGCACCAATTAAAGTATTTGGGATTACGTCAAAACCACAGAAGAGGCAAAATAAAAACCTTAAATCAGTACATCAAAAAATAAATAATTTTTGTTCATTTTAATTTATTTATATATTCAATTAGGCCATGTGGCATGTGGGATCTTAGTTCCTGAACCAGGGATTGAACCCATACACTCTGCAGTGGAAATGCAGTGTCTTAACCACTGGTTTGAAAAACTATACAAACCTAGACAACATATCAAAAAGCGGAGCTGTCACTTTGCTGCCAACAACAGCAGAGCTGGTGAGTTACTGATATGAAGTATTCCTTCCGCTAAACTCCTTTCCTTCATATACAGTGCAAAGACTCCACGCTCTAAAAATAGCATACAGAATGTTATTTTAAGCTTTTATTTAAAAAGCCTAACTAGTAAAATCACAAAGTGTATGAACCATAATCTAAGTGCAGAAATGAAATACTTCAAATGTCAAGGAATAAAATTCCATACAGTCAGTTTTTTTTATTTAAAAAAAAAAACTTACTTAAGTCAGTTAAAAGTGATTTAAACCAAGCACATGCAAAAGGTATGGAAATAAGGCAAAACTACACTTTGAGGCAAAATCAAAGCCTTAAATTTGTTCATCTTGAAAAAAAAGAAAACGAACGACTTTTTCTGCCATCCTGAACTGTTTGCCACCATTCAAGACCCACTGGCCATGAGTAAGATGAGGATGTTTTTAGCTGAGATCAGTAACTCACCAGCTCTGCTGTTGTTGGCAAGGCACTCCAACCTAAAACCCCTTGTAGAACCCAGGCAATGACTTTACATTTCTTCTTTGGTGCCTGAGGCTTTTATAGGATTTTCTCATCATTTCTTCCCCCTTCTGATTAGTAACTCCCAATTGGAAAGTGAAACCTGGTTAAATTCCAGAATATCCAGTAGGTTAATCCTGATATTTGTCTGTTTCCAGATTGATTGACTCAGATTTTCATTAGAATTAGGTTGAAGGGGAAGTCAAAACACGTTCCTAGGTTTACCCCTACAAACACTGAATTTTATTAATACAGACAACTGTAGTAGGGTGTGATCAAGGAGGGATTAATTTGTTCCCAACATTGGGCAAAAAAATAAAAACCTGAAAGCATAGTCCTGGAAGATCTTTGGCCATATCAAAAGTATCAAAATGTCCTACAAATAAGACAGCTTTGCAAGGGCAATAGTGCTATCCCAAAGAAAACAAAATAAATTTCTCCATGTATCAAGCTGTCTGGTTTCAAATTGAGAAAGGAGTACATCAAGGATGTATATTGTCACCTTGCTTATTTAACTTACACGACTGAGCGACTTCACTTAAAAAACCAAAGTGGAAAGTATCATTGCTGGGGGAACTTCTGCCATATCAAAGTTATAGAAATGTCCCTGAATGGACACAGCTTTATGAAAATAGTCATATTGTTCACAAAAGAAACAAAATACAGAGGTCTCTGTATAAATTTGTCACTCAGGTGTTATGTGGGAAGCATAGGAGATTGTGAGGCTATTTAGGCAGCAAGAAAGAGCTTGGGGGTGGGGGGGAATGGTTGGTTCCCCAGCCTTAAGCCAAGCCTTCTCTGAAGGTGGACAGGTCAAAATTACAGTGAGAAGTAACAGTGGGTCTGGCTGGGTTGCATCTGGGCATTCATAGAAGGTCCACATGAATGATCCACAATGTGACATAGAGTTTGGGGTTTTTCTCTCTTTTATGAAAGAGGTAGATTTAAAGAAGTTATTCTGGGTGATATTAGGAAAGTAAAAGAGAATGGCTTAGAGGATACAGTGTTATGTTTGAGAGTGTTTCCTCCTAGAAAGTTTGCTCCACACAGCATTTGATCTTTGAAGTTGTTTAGTCACTAAGCCCTGTCCAGCTCTTTGTGACCCCATAGACTGCAGCACACACACCAGGCTCCCCAGCCCTCCACTGTCTCCCTGAGTTTGTTCAAGTTCATGTCCATCGAGTCTATGATGCTATCTAACCATCTCATTCTCTGCCACTCTCTTCTCCTTTTGCCTTCAGTCTTTCCCGACATGAGGGTCTTTTCCAATGAGTCGGCTGTTCTCATCAGGCGGCCAAAGTATTGGAGCTTCAGCTTCAGCATCAGTCCTTCCAATGAGTAGTCAGGATTGATTTCCTTTAGGATTGATTGGTTTGATCTCCTTGCTGTCTGAGGGACTTTCAAGAGTCTTCTCCAGCACCACAATTGAAAAGCATCAATTCTTCAGTGCTCAACTTTCTTTATGGTCCAACTGTCACATCCATATTTGGCTACTGGGAAAACCATAGCTTTGAACATACAGACCTTTTTTAGCAAAGTGATGTGCCTGCTTTTTAATATGCTGTCTAGGTTTCTCATAGCTTTCCATCTAGGAAGCAAGCATCTTCTCTTCAAACCTCAAAATCTTCTTGTTTTTCTTACTCACACCCAGGAAAATGAAACTGGCCTAGTAACAGAATATCATAATTCATATTTGTGATCATCTTAATCAGCAGCTAAAATATCCAGAGGGTTATCATTATGATAAAAGTGCTGGTGATAGCAAATTTCTTTGGAATTTTTGTTGTGTTTCTGCTCAACTTTCTGTATTTTATTGAATATTCCCTATTATCAGATTCTTTCCCATGACCAGTGTTGAAAATAAAGGCATCATCCTTTCAGAAAATCAAAAGAGATTTAAAGATTTAAAGAGAGTTTAAGAAGCTTGCAGGAAGAAAGAAAAAGAGAAGTTCAGTTATTTAGATTTCACAAGTAAATGAGAATATTCAGTGTTTATCTTTCTCTGATATATTTCACTGAGCATAATACCCTCAAAACTCATCCTGTTTTGTGGCATATGGTAGGTTATCCTTCTTTTCATGTCATAATTATATAAATATATACATATATGTATTTGCACACACACACTTATGAGGAGAAAGTTCCGGTGGAGTTGCTTATTCTATCTGTAGTACTAGAATTTTTTTATTATTATTATTTGGGAAAATTAAGAAAGACATGGAAAACAAATGGGATTTTTGTTCATAAGCCTTTTTCATGGACATATATATTGACCAGAAAAGTTATTACTTCTGTATGTTTATATTTCTGTTATCAGCAGCTGGCTAGCATTGATTTTCCCCAAGTTGGCTAACCCAGACTTGCCTATGAGTGTCCAGGAGTCTCCAGCGGAGGCATGGGTTGGCAGTGGCCTGCTGCAGGATCAGGGGCTCTGAGCTTCCATAAGCCTCTTATGTTTATCAGAGGGCAGACAGAATGAAAACCACAATCACAGAAAACTAATCAAACTGATCACAAGGACCACAGCTTTGTCTAACTCAGTGAAACTATGAGCCATGCCTTGTAGGACCACCCAAGACAGATGGGTCATAGTGGAGAGTTCTGACAAAACATGGTCCACTGGACAAGGGAATGGCAAACCACTTCAGTATTCTTGCCTTGAGAACCCCATGGACAGTATGAAAAGGCAAAAAGATAGAACACTGAAAGATGAACTCCCCAGGTGGGTAGGTGCCCAATATGCTACTGGAGAAGAGTGGAGAAATAACTCCAGTAAAAAAGAAGAGATGGAGCCAAAGTGAAAATAACACCCAGTTGTGGATGTGACTGGCAATGGAAGTAAAGTCAGATGCTGTAAAGTTTCCCAGGGACCATGCATTTATAATCATTTACTGCCTTGCCTTTTTCCATGATCAGTTATGGGCCACAGGAACATGGTTCCCTACCATTTATTGGACAATATTTGTCTAACTTGGGAGTTTGTTAAGAAAAAAAAATAATTTTAATACATATTAGTATCTTACAATCCAGCAATTTTGCTCCATACAGATGAGTTGAAACACTTTTTCCAGGCAAACACATGCATATGGAAGCTTGTAGCAGCTTTACTCATCTTTGCCAGAACTTGAAAGGAACCAAGATGTCCTTTAATAGGTGAAAAAAAACAATGAACTGTGATGTATACTGACAATGAAATGGTGTCAAACCATGAAAAATCATGGAGGAAATCATGACGTCTATTACTAAGTGAAAGAATCAATCTGAGAAGCCTACATAAAGTGAGTCCAACTATAGGACATTTTTGCAAAGGCAAAATCACAGAAGAGTGAAATAATCAGATTTTTTTCCAGAG